ATACAATGTTTTGGCAAAGGTGAAGGAACATCAAAATATCAAATTGAAACAGAGGAAACTTGCGACTGAAATTTAGACAAATCTGAATTTGACATTAGTAAATTGTGACACGGAAATAATATAAAACATAAAACAAAAGGGACCCCTCCAAAAGAAAAAAAAAAAAGAACTAACGAAAATAATGTCTCGTCTTTTTTCGTCCTAGGAATAATAGCATACTATTTAGTTCTAGAAACCAAACCTGCAAAACCAGAAAAAAATATAACAAAAGCACTTTGCAGTATCACCATATATGCATTTTTCATAGTAATATCTAAGTTGATATTTATCAAAGTATAGAAATACAGATACAACGTCGTATTTATATATCAGGAAACCTAAGACCTGACCCACAAAGCTATCCCATCCCCCTCACAACAAAACGAAAGAAAGTAAAGAAGAAACAGAAGCAGAAGAGGGGAACTCTAGATAGGCTTTTTAACTGCAAAAAGATACTAAGTTCTTATTAGAGTTCATACATTGAATGCTTTCCTATTAAAATATTATATTAGATTTGAAAGAATCTAGTTGGGAGTATATTATATTTATATTTATATTTATTGAGAAAGAGAAAAAAAGGGAAATTAGTATAATGGGAAGGGGAAGGGTAGAACTGAAGAGAATAGAAAACAAGATAAACAGGCAAGTTACTTTTGCTAAGAGAAGAAATGGACTTCTCAAAAAGGCCTATGAACTTTCAGTTCTGTGTGATGCTGAAGTTGCTCTTATAATCTTCTCTAACCGCGGCAAGCTCTATGAATTCTGCAGCAGCTCAAGGTACGTTTTATACAGTTGAATGTTTACTGTTTGTTCGTGTCGCTCCATTTAAGCTCATCATATATCTTAAATTGCACATATTTGTAAAAAAAATGATTTGAGTAAGGTTTTCAGTGATTTCTAATCTTGTTTTAATAGGGTAGGGATTTAACAAGTTTGAAAGAGATACAACTCTATGTGTCCATTGTACCCTGTGTCTAACCTTTCATTCCTTCCTTTAACTTTTTTTCTTGAGTTTTATTGGTTGGGTATAGGTGTGAGATCTGAGTAAGAATATATATACGTATATATTTATTTTAACCTAGAGTAGTAGGACTCGTGGCTGCTGACTTATAAGGGTGCAAGCCAATTTGCCATTTGATCTGCAGATCTAACTTCTTCTTTTGTAAATTACAAATGTAACTGGTATCTCAAGAATCCAGAAGAAGTAAATAAAGCTCTTTGGTTGTGATTTGATGTTCGACAATTTTCCCTTCGTTTAATTATCTCCACTTTTTCTTCAACAAGTACAAAAGAAAAAGCCTTATAATATGGATCTAAAGCTGCTGGAGCTTGGAAAAGAATTGATGTGGTTTTGAGTATTTCTTCTGCATTTTGCCTGTGAAAATGGTACCCAATAATGCTTATAACATTTGCAGACTTGAGATTTTCCTTTCAGTCTGAAGCTTTAAAATCATAATCATATCTTTATACTAGCACTTTTGCTTTTCCGGAAGAAATTCTCATTTTTACCTTAATTAGTATAGCAATTTACATAACAAATACTAACAACTAACTTTTTCATGCCTATGAAATTAGCATAATGTCTTAGAATGAATTAATTTTTATGAGCATATCGAATCGGAGTTCCTTAAGTAGCCACGGAACCTATAGTTATGCTTAGATTACCGTGCTTGGTGGAGAAGAAGCAAAGTAAAAGTACACTGGCTTCCTGCCTTGTTCTCTGTCTTGAACTGGGATTGCTCGCTAGATAGGTCAGGTTGAAGCAAGATTTTATGAGAACATATTCCCTATATTCAGCGACAAGGGCGGAACGACCTCATCACGTAATTGATTTCCAGTATTTCTATCTTACTAAGATAATATTTTAATCGTCTCTTTCTTAACGGGACTTGCCTATATATGGTGCTTTCATCTAATTTTGACACAATCACACAAATGCTCTTAATTGATAAATTGGTGGCATTTAAAGATGCACTAATACTTCTTTCTGATTGCATATCATTAGTTGTCTTTTCTTTTTATGAAAACAACATCATGGAAACATATTGATCTATATACGCGACACCAACTCTTAAAATTAAGATATAAGTTCGATGCACTATTATATATAATTAGGTCCAGTTTTATCCACAATTGCTTTTAGTTCACTTAGGAATTTATATATCAATTTGGCATACATTGACAGACATACAAGGGGTTATGTTGATATACTAGCTAGTGTATGAGTATATTATACATCTATCTCGACATTCTCATATAAATCTCTAATCAAACTCAACACATACGGCAAACAGTAGATCTAATGTAAGTGAAGCAACAATAACTAAGCCTTAAAATCAACTTGTTAATATTGCCAACGAATCATTTTTTCCATTGTATTCTGCAAAGTATTTGCTATGTCTGTATTGATTTCAACATAGTGTAGGTTTTTAAGACTTTTTCATGTGCTTTTACGTTTATCTTGTATCTTTTTAGCACCTTAAATCATCATGATAGTATACTATTGAAGTGTGTGACCATCTCATTAACATATGTTTGCTCTGGTATCATGTTGAAGTATGTGATCATCTCATCTAAAAGCTTAAATTGCTGCTAGATTTTATTTCTAGTACACTCATAATGTGGATACTTTGGATCACAAATACTCAATATTTACTCCCATATAGTATTATTGGTTTCACAATCATTCTATAAGACTGACATAACATGGTGAGAACGAAACATAGTATGAGAAATTATATTTTTTCATATAAATGAGGAATTCCACAGAGGTATCAAAAGGGACGCTGTGATTCCAACTATCAATGTTAGAATATTTAGCATATCCATTTATCTCATTTTGCCACAGCTAATTTACAATCAGTTCGAGGAATTCAAAGTAGGAGAAGTAAGTCCCAAACTGAAGTAATTATAACTTATAAGCAAGCCACTATAGAAAGACAATTAGTGAGAGATAAAATCAAGCATGCATTATGCTCTACATGATGGTTGCGTTGAAGACCGATTAGACCTCATATATCTTTGTCTTTGATTAATTAGTTTTTTTCTTGGTTGAAGTACTATGGTTTGGGCTTTACTTTTAATATTATGGTAAGAATACACTTGTTGATCTCTTGTCTATGAGTATGAGTAGGGGTGGCAAAATAGTTAAAAAAAACAGTTAACCACCCATATTATCTACTAAAAAATAGGTTAGATAATGAACTTTTTAAAAATGTGTCGAATATGGATAAGAACCATATTATCCATTTAGAAAATGGTTATATTAGTAACTAATGGATGACCAATGGGTCTAACTTTTACATTTGTAAAGCCTCAAATTAGGGGTTCCTCAAGTTAGAGAGACTAAGAATTCTCCCAAAAGTGATCATATGCAAGAATTCATGGATAGTACGGTTACCCATATTATCCACCGGTTAACCCGTTTTTTATCCGTATTAAATATGGGTCGGGTCGGATAATTGATCTGTTTTTTCATTACCCGTTTTCAATCCGAACCATATCTGACTCGACCCGCCCGTTTGCCACTCCTATCTATGAGTAAATAAAGCATTCTTTTAGGCTTCTAGATGATGTTCCCAAATTTGGCAAAAATATGACCATTTCATCTAAAAGCTTAAGCTATTAGAGATAGTAAATTTTTATGTACTTAATTGTCATCTTAATATACCTTCTCATGTGCCGGGCTTGATTCTTTTTCATGACCAGAGCACATGAAAGTTCTTTTTTGATTATTAGTCGTTGTGAGACTTGAACTCAAAATCTTTGCCTTGTCTGATATCATTTAGAAGTGAGAGATCACCATTTTTATTTACTTAATTATTATCTTAGCACTGTCACTGTTCTACAACTTGCCTTTTTTCTAGTATATCCAAGACACTGGAGAGATACCACAGATGCAGTTACTCCAACCTTGAAGCTGGCCAATCTTCAACCGATTCTCAGGTTCATTCATCTCCCTTAGATTTGTAACTGACTTAGTAATTTACTATTTAGTTAAAAAAAAAAAGGAACAATTTATCTTTACCTTCTCTTTCAAGTTTCATCGAGTTAGATTCTTTGGATGAACTAGGTAAAATTAAACAGTAACTAATTATATACTCCCTTCGTTTCTTTTTACTAGTTTTCTAACACGCGCGTTGCATCGTGTGTTTCATAGTATAAGTACAAACTTCTTAAAATGATATACATCATATTAGAATAGTGTATATGAGTTACACGAAATTAGAATGGAAAAAGTGCAAGCTTAAACTAAATACATAGCAATCAAATATTCAACTTAATAATTTTCTTATTTGTGACATTTCATGTTTCTAACAACACCAAATTTAAATTTGAATATGAGCAACATCGACTATAGTTACAAATGCTTCACATTTTAAAGTTCGTGTCATATTTATAAGAAATTGTAACCTCAGCCGTTCCATAACTGCATACATATTAATAGGTTGTTATCAAATAAAGGTAATATTTTGTAGAAGCTGTGTAGAAATTGGATCACCGTATACCTTTATTTAGATGGATATAATAGATCATTGTCAATTTCATGGTGTGCATCTCCAAAGAAGTAGTAGTTTATTTATTACAAAGATACACGTTATGATCCAGTCTAGTAGTTCAATGGCTACGTAAGATCGCGCCACATCATCTAAGTAAACTCAGATGGCTCTTATTTATTTGTATTATTATTTATAAAATAGAAAAGATATTCCACCATTGTCCTTTACACTTTCCTACTCTCTCCTCTATTTCCTTCAATTCAAAGATTTCAGAATTGTCGCCAACATTTTCTTCCTTTAGAAATTGCTTCTCCATTACCAAGCAATTTGTTCACGATACTACAGATCAAGCCCAACAACAAAAGTTGAAGCTGCACGACTCATTAACACAGACCTATTAGTGCATCAGTCCATCAGTCCACCAAGATCAACAATTTTGTAGCTCTATTTTTTAGTTGTATATTTCATATACATGTGTGTAATTGTTTGTAGACTAAGTAGTAGAATAATATTACACAAGTCAGTTGAATGTTTTAAAGACCGACTGACCTTCTCTCTCTAATTTAGAAACCTTAGGGTTTTCTTTAATCTCTTTTGTTCATCAATGAATTTGGTGATATTAACATAGTATCAGAGCAGGGAATCAGTTTCATCTCGGCATAAGCTTCACTCCGATGTTACCCTTGATCGGAGTTTTCGTCTCTTCTGTTTGGTTCGGTGATTTGGGATTTCCATTGGAGCGTGATTTTCTTGAAGGAAAATTGGGGATTTCTTTGATTTTGTGCTGGAATCGACTCTCGTGGTCATATTTTGCTGAAATCCAAAGGTTATCGACATTTTTTACTTCATGCGAGTTTCGTCCTAGGGTTTTGCCTACTCAGAATTTACTTCTCTATTTCAAAAGGCCGGTAATATTCTTCCTATCTACAAATTTACAACCTGATTCTCATCATGTTTAAGACATATTCTGTGGTTTGCATGCCGTATATGTAGACATTGTTATTCTCCTCAAGTTGACTCCATTTCGGTGATTGTATATGTGTGATTGTGTGGTTTGACTGAGCCTGCTGCTATGGGTAGCATTCGCGATAATGTGGATAATACCACGACCTCTAACTCTAGAGGTTTTGTACCTTTTTCCCTAGATCCCTCTCATCCCTTGTATGTACACCCTTCGGACAGCCCTAGTAGCCAATTGGTTTCGATACCTTTTAATGGCTCTCGCTTTGTTCTTTGGAGAAGTAGCATGTTTACTTCTTTGTCCGTCAATAACAAACTAGGGATCCTAGATAGGAGAATATCTCAACCTAGTCCAAACTCAACTTATTACCCATATTGGGAAAGATGTAATGATATGGTCAAGTCTTGGATCATAAATTTTGTATCTAGAGAAATTGCCACTAGTGTAATGTATTTTAAGACAGCCAAAGCGGTCGAGAAAGACATTAATGAGAGATTTGGGTAGTCTAATGGGTCAAAATATCTACATATTCAGAGGAAGATAAGTACAATTGTCTAGGTTCTTCATACATAGCTAATTACTTCACTAAACTTAGAACACTTTGGGATGAGTTAAATTCTTCCTATGCGGGACCTGTTTGTTCATGTGGAGCTCTTCTCAAGTTCATAGAAGATCAACATATGTTTTAGTTCCTTAATGGGTTAAATGAATCTTATTTCACTGTCAAAAGCACCATCATGATGATGAGTCCCTTACCACCCATAAGTAAAGTCTCTTCTATCCTACAATAGGATAAGAGCCAGAGAGAAGCACCACGTGCTCCTATTTTTTCTGGCAATTCTGCATCTTTTCTGGCTTCTTGTTAGTGTTTAGCAGAGAAAGCATCAAATGGCATAAAGAAGAAAAGGAGAGATATGTTATTAAGCTGAATGGAGAGCTGTTTAAATACAAATAGATCCTAACAGAATTGCAGTAAATACTAAAGCAGAAACTTCCTAATAATCAGGAACTAATCAACAAACAACTACATGCCTAAAGACTAGAAAATTCACAACTGAAAAATCTTAAGCCTAGGAACAAAAAATATCTAAGTATCTTCTGCAATTCTAAAACATGTCAGCAGCTACATCATCGCCAACTTAGCTGCTACATCAGCATAATCAAATAACAGCTTATGAGGCATCTTGCAACACTCCTCCTTGCCTCAAGAGCTGTAAATCCTAAGTTTCATTCTCAAGAGCTCAAATTTGCCTACTGGAAGAGATACTGTAAAAATATCAGCCAGTTGTTCTTCCGTTTTGTAATGCACCAGATTCACCAGACCATCCTTTTGCACTTCTCTCAGAAAATATAGTTTCACATTGAAATGCTTGGTCTTTTCGTGAAATACTGGATTGTGAGAAATAGTTATAGCAGCTTGGTTGTCTACAAATACCTCAATGCTTTCTTTAATCTCCAAACCAAGCTCGCATAATATTTTCTTTATCTACAAAGCTTGATTGATAACAGTTGTAGCAACAACGAATTTTGCCTCTGTAGTTGATTGAGCAACAATCTCTTGCTTCTTAGAACACCAAAAAAAATAGCATGAGCCAAAACTAAAATAGTACCCTGGAGTACTTTTCATATCTTCAACAGAACCAGCGCAATCACTATCAGAAAATCCCTAAAGTTTGAAATTTTGACACTTGCTAAATCTGACTCCATAATCTATTGTTCCTTTGACATACCCGAGCACTCTTTTTGTAGATTCATATGCAATTCACTTGGAGAATTAAAGAATCTGGATACTACACTTACAACATACAGTATGTCTGGCCTTGTTGCTGTAAGATACCTTAGACATCCAATTAAGCTTGTGTAACTTCCTTCTTGTACTTTTTTAGCACCATCATCCTTCATTAGCTTCTCCTTTTGATTCATAGGTGTGCTCATACTTTTGCAGTCTTCCATTCTAAATTTCTTTAGAATTTCTTTTGCATATTTTTTTTGACAAATGGATATTTAATCTTGGACTTGTTTAATCTCCATTCCAAGAAAGAAAGCCATCTCTCCAAGATCTGCGATTTTAAAAAATTTCATCATCTCTCTTTTAAACTCTTCTATGAGCACAACATTACTTTCTGTTACTAAAAGATCATCAACATACAGAGAAATGATAACAACGTCAGAGTTACTGTGCTTTATATAAAGAGTTGATTCGCTTAGGCTTTTTTGTAAACCTAAGTTAGAAAGATGATCATCAATTTTACTGTACCAATCCCTTGGAGCTTGCTTTAAGCCATAGAGAGCCCTTTTTAGCAAATAGTCTTTGTCTTCTTGCCTTTTCACAACAAACCCTTCTGGTTGTTCAACATAATTTTCTTCCTGCAAGAAACCATTCGAAAAGGCTGATTTAACATTCATTTGGTAGATTTTCCACCCCTTTTGTGCTGCAATTGCCAAAAGAAGTTTGATTTTGTCAAGTCTTGCCACATGTGAAAATGTTTCAGAAAAATCTACACCAAAAATCTAAGCATAGCCCTTCACCACAAGCCAGTCTTTGTGCCTGTTCACTGAGCCATCTGCATTTAGCTTAGTGCAATAAATTTAACTCCAATGATCTTTTTGTCTTAAGGTCTTTCAACAGCACCCACGTGTCATTTTTCTCAATCATGGTCAGCTCTTCCTGCATTGCAGCTATCCATTTCTTGTCTCTTTTAGCTTCTACATATTCGACAGGTTCAAAGACTGCTACATTACATCTTTGATAGATATCTGAAAGTGATCTGGTTCCTCTAACTGGAAGATGGTCGATGCGCTCCTCAAGATTTTGCAACTCATTAGCTTCCATTTCTTGTTTATCTTCATCCCAATTCCATTGCTTTTGCTCAACAAATTCCACATCTCTGCTTATCAATTTTTTTTCAGTTTGTGGATGGAAAATTCTGTAAGCTTTTGACTGCAAACTATAACCAATGAAAACTCCAGGTTCCGCCTTCTTGTCAAGTTTATCCCTTTTCACCTGAGGTATGTAAGAAAAACATAAGCAACCAAAAATTTTAATGTTCCTTAGTGAAGGTTTATACCCATGCCAAGCTTTAAAAGTTTTTGACTATTCACTGAGTTTGTGGGTAGCATATTTAACAAAAATACAGCAGTATTGGCTGCGTTTGCCCATAACTTTCGGGGAAGCTCTTTCTCATACAACATACACCTTTTCATCTCTATGATAGTCCTATTCTTCCTTTCACTTATTCCGTTTTGCTGTGGAATATATGGAGTAGTAAGTTGATGCTCTATTCCAGCAACTTCACAAAAGCTTTTGAACTGATCTAAAGTGTACTCGATCCCATTATTTGATATAAGCACTTGTATTTTGCAACCACTTTGATTTTCTACCACGACTTTGAATCTCCAAAAAAACTTCAGCGACTTCTGATTTGAATCTTAAGAAGTATATCCAACACATCCTCAGTGTTGTGAAGAGCATGAAGCGAGGAAAAGCGACAACCCCCATTTCACGAGAAATGAGAAGCGAGAAGCAA